CAACACTGAAAGCAGGAGATCTGAACAACAACAAATAAAATGTGCTTGTCAAGAGGGCAGGCCGGGTAGTGGGCTGTGGGGAAGAGATGTGGGGGACAGTAAGGTTTGAACATAGGTGGACATGGGTAGAGGGAAGTTGACACTGGTGATGGGACTGCTTCTGGAATAGTGTATTCCTGTATTGCATTATGGAATTAGTCAGCTTAATTGTAAGTTGCTAGGTCAGAAACCTCACCCAGCAGAGACAGAGGGACAGAGATGAGTAAAGTAGAAATAGAAGTTATTTATTAGGGTACGCTCCTGGGCAGACTCCAATAACTCCTTGTACAGGCCCCTGGAGAGACGGGCATAGAGCATGTCTTACGGGAGGTGACGTGGAATTTTAAGTTGGAAAAGGAAAAGAGGCCAGCGGGACCTGGGCCTCATGGACCATAAGTCCTGTCTTTCCGTTCTGAGGACAGGGTGATCTTTGATTCCGGGAATGTCGCTATCTCATAAGCCATTGGTCCCAGAGCAAACCTCACATGAATACCTTTGTAAATCACAGTGCTTTAATTTAAAAAAAAAATGTGTGGAAAATGGATTGTGTTTTTTCCCCCTGTGACTTCTGTGAGCTCCATCAATGGTCAATATGTAAATCACTGGAAAACTATTTATGAGTGTTTCTTAGAGCTCAGTGGTCAGGAAGAAAGAGAAGCTTATTTTACAACTGACTAACAATGACATCTCAGAAGTAACCTTTCTGCTACTTTGAGTTAGACCAACTTCTAGAAATTCCATGACGAGCTAAGTGAATTCAATTTTGGCCCCTTCCATGTTGTATTCCTCATAATGACCAAAGATCAGGCGTGCTTAGCTGCACTGTTTACACACCTGACTTCAGCCCCTTGTGTTTTCCAGTTGCTACATTGCTTTGGGGATGACACACTTTCTTGATGGCATCAGGGATCACAAACATCACACTCAGCAAGTGGAGACAAGTACCGAATTACAGGTATCATGCCCTCAAGGTACTACCACTGAGCTCTCCCTGCATCCACAGTAAATCCCATTTTAAAGGACTCTGACTTCGACCCTCCTGTCCTCAGAAAGAAATTCTTGCCCAGCCCATCTTCTTTTAAAATTATTTCTCTTTTCACTAGTCATTAGGTTCTTTCTTTTATTACATTGACACTTCTCAACCAGCAGAGCATTTGATTACAACTCTTGAATCGCCTGTGCATTCTAAGTAATAAAATCTCCCAGCTGTGCCTCCAAGAAGGGTCAGTAACTTTCAAAACTACCAGAAACTCTGATTCTGGCTTTGGAGCAGGAAACATTCAGTCTCATAAGAGGACCTGCAGGGAAAATGTATGGCAGACAATGACGGACTCCAACCAGTAGACCATGTGAAACATACTATGGTTTAGGAGAGTTAGTACTATCTCCCCTCCCCTGCCTACAATCCCTTTTAAATGGTCAGCCACTCTTGGACAGTCTGCACGTTTGATTTGTTTGGGTTAATGACAGTTACTTTAAAGATGTCCACAGTCTGGAGAGGCTATCTGATTAGCTTATTATTACCCTCACACTGAGATTAGCCTTTACAGACAAAACACAAATATGAATGTGAGAAAAATGTGGATTTTGTGGACAAGGCTTCATTGTAAAGTGCTAAGAAAATAAGACTAAAGCTAGCCAGTACTCAGTAATAGAGCTATGGAAACACGTGTTAGAAAACAAAAAGGCTGACAAATAACAGGCTGGCATTAACTCACTTAACCCCTAAATGATGCTAGAGGTGTTTTTATTATGTGTCCTGTTCTCACAAGTGGAAAAAATAGAGCCCAGAGAGATTGTCAATTTCCCAGAACTTCTAGTGACAATAATGCAGCTGGCTTAGATGTCAGCTGTGTCTGGTTCCAGCATCTGCACCCCAAACTATAGCCCAACTTCCTGGCATTGATCAGTGGGAAGGGTAGGCATGACTCTGGAGCCAAGGATGGTCAAGAGGTCATGTAAACTGAATTCTCCTTGGCGTTTGTACAGGCTGCTGAACTATAATCTCAGCTGCCTTCACTTTAATAGCTTTCAGGCACTACATTCAGTGGTCATTTAGGGAAATGTCACTTTTTCTCTTTATGACCTTACTCTGATGGAAGAGAACTAATTTAAAATAAAGAACAAATTTTTAAAAAATTTTTTTTTATTGAACCACTATGAGATACAGTTATAAAAGCTTTCATGTTTGAGATTCAACCATACAATGTTTGAATATCTGTCCCTCTACCAGTGCAAACTATGTACCACCAATGTCCCCATTATCCCCACCCCCCACCTGCCCTCAACCTGCCTGGATGGTAGACAAATGCTCAGCTATTCCCTCTCTATTTGGGGGTATTATATTTTGCTTGAAGTTTCCTACCACCATTCAAGCCTGCCTTCCAGGAGAAAACACTAGATCATTTATTTTCTATTGCTCATTTTGCATATCATTAAAGGTCATGCAGCCAGGTGCTTCTGAAATTCTAAGATTTTGGATGGGTTCCAGAGACATCTCTGTAGGGAGCTATTCTATTTTGGGATTCAGTTGGGAGTTTCTGGGCTGTTGGTGAGCCAAGATGGCGCCCGGGGGCGGGTTGTGGGCATGACTTCCAGCATCAGAAGTGGAAGGGAGGCCTGGCTGAGACTGCCTGGTTCCACTACCACCATGTGGTTTGGAGATTTAGTCCTGAAACCTACATACCGGAGCCTTGCTTGTGTAAGCTCATGGTCGCGGGGTTCCATCTGGAGAAGGTAAGGAAGAACTTTTGAGGATTCTAGATTACATTTCTGCATGAAGATCCTTCATGCATCTTCTGCTGAATGGAAGTTAAGACCATGAACCACAGAATCAGACTACTGATTTCTAAATCCTAACTCCATCATTTTCTTAACTGTATGGTGTTACATAGTCCATTAGTCCTTCAGCCCCATATGAAAAAAAAATGACAAAATTTTCTATTAGTTTGGATAGAGGTGTCGATTTGATGATAATCTGACTGTAAAGCAGATATAGCATAGAGTGTACCCCTGATACAAGCCAACCATGAATTGCTTAATAAAAAAAACACAAATTTCTTTGGGGAGTAGGAGAGATAGTAAAACATATTAGGTACTTGCCTTGCATGCAGCTGATCTGTGTTTGATCCCCAGCATTCCATATGGTTCTCCAAGCCTGCCAGGAGTGATTCCTGAGTACAAAGCCAGGAGTTACCTTTGAGCACCACCAGGAGTAGTCTTAAAACCAAAAAAAAAAAAATCCCAAAACTTAATTTTGACAGGGTTGTAGGGGAGGTGCAGTGTAGACAGGAGTTTGGGGCCTTACCTAGCAGTGACTAGGGGACTACTACTCCTAGCTCTGTGCTCAGGAATGATCCCTCAGGAAATCATGTGGTGCAGAGACTGAACGAGCATGCAAGACAAATACTCCTATAGTATCTCTCCCCACTAGAAATAGAACAAAACAAAACATTTTCGACTTTGAGGGTATTTGGAGACTTTAATAATTTGAAATTGTTTATCTTCATATAAAAATAGAACGCATTCATGTCCATTTTATAAAACTATTTTACCAGTTTATTCAATGTAGTAATAGAGAAACCAAAATTTTAAAGAAAAAGGGAATTTCTTTTAGCAAAGATTTTTTTCTTCTCAAGGGGTTGAGAATTAAAGCAGATAAGCTGTACTATTTCATTGTAGCTATTTTCTCAAATATAGAAATATTCTTAGGATTACAGGGACCTGTAGTCTAAGAGACTTTAAGTATTGCGGTTTGGCTTAGATTGTCCAAGTTCAGTAAATCTAGCATTAAAGAGTGCTATATAAGTTAATCTTGATTGAACGAAAAAAAAAAAAGGTTTTCTGCAACTTATGTCTTAAATTCAGTTCCATTCTTTTACCCCATTCCATTAAGCTTTAGTGCGTAGCTGAATGCCTCTTTTCCTCCAACTATAAAATATAAGCTAAGAAATAACAAGCTTAAAGCAGTGGTTTTGATCTGGCAGTCCTCAATTTTACAGTCAAGAATGTGTCCAACAAGCTGGAGATGTACAATTCCCCAAGCAGGTGAAAAAACGTGATTGTGAGGGCTGAGATGACAGTTTTTATCCCATTTTCAATGCACATCATGTGCATCTGTTGTATATCTGGGAATGTTTTCACAATTTTTTTCTAGAGAAAATTAAATAAGCATTTCTATGTTTAGTTTCTCGGTTATCATGAAAAAGCGAATAGTGAATATGGAAATTAAAGGCCATGGAAATACTTATCTGAGTGGAAAGCACTAAGACTGCAAGACTAATAATGATCCTTGACAACCTGTCTCATCTGTACAAGAGTCTTTCCACCACGACAAAGAGACTACCCAGGACAGACAGTCAGACCTGGAGTTTATGTTTAAAGTAAATCAGTTCATTAGTTTAAAGCTGATAGATAATTTTTTACAAAGGTGAAGTCTCCTTTCAAACAAAGGTAGAAAAAAAATTAAATGCCATTTTCTTCTTTCAAACAAAGGTAGAAAAAACTTTAAATGCCATCTAGTTGGTGATGTAAGTCGTATCTTGATTTTAGCTGGTTTTCAGTTAAAACTCAGCTAATTTAAAAAAATATGATACTCTCTTCAATATATCTCATTTTTAAACATTTTCACAGCACTCATATATTTTAAAGAAACAATTATTATTATTTATAATCTGAGGTTTTTAGCCAAAGTAGTATTAACTAGCCAGGTTTTTATTGCAATAGCTCAGTTTTAATGTTTTGGAATCATAATTAGTAAGAAGAGTTGGGTAAATATTTCTCTGTTAAAGTATTTAAAATTTCTCTGCTAAAGTATTTGCCCTTTCCAGAAGGGCAAAATGTAAACTACATTCTGTTGATGCTGTTGTTTTGGGCCATATTCTTTTTTTTTTAGTGAATCACTGTGAGGTACAGTTACAAACTTACGAACTTTTGTATTTCAGTCATACAATAATCGTTCAAAAAATATGGAATGCTTCACGAATTTACATGTCATCCTTGCGCAGGAGCCATGGTAATCTTCTCTGTATCATTCCAATTTTAGTATAGGTTCTGTCGAAGAGAGCACTGGGCCATATTTTTAATGGGGACTATGAATTGGATGTTGGTGTCCTAAATTCCCAAAATAGTGGTATGTGGGGATGTGGCCTTTGGACCTACTTAGAAACCTCATGAATATGCAAAGTGACCCTACAGATGTATGAAGAGATCAGTACTGTCTGTCTGCTCTTCACCATATGAGAATATTGCAAGAAGATGGCCATCCGTAGATCAGGAAACAGGTCTTCACCTAACACTGGGTATGCTAGGGTCTTGATCTGAAACTTTTTGGCCTCCAAAATGATGATAAATAGGTGTTAATTGTTTGAGTCATTCAATCTACACAAATTCTTTCTACAGCCTGAGCTAAGACAGTATTCTTTAAAGACCACTATTCATCCTCAGCTTTCTCTCCTCCTTCCTTTTCCCCACCTTCCTTTCTCGTGTCTTTGGAGGTATTTAAGTTCTAAAATAGTAGCCGGGGCAGGGCAGGGATCCATGCAAGATGAAGAGGGTAGAACTAACTCGAGTAACAGAAGCCAGCAGGATGATGTAATATTTCTATAGGGTGGGTATAGGGAGCCATGAATTAAATAGAGTGAGGAAGCCTCCACTCTGGATGACTAGAGAGGGTATCAGAACACAAATAGGTAGAAGTCTGTGTGTGTTGGGGTGGGGGTGGAGGGAACCACAGGAGTGAAGGCCCAGCATGGTGAATCAGACACCGAGCAAGGGAAGCAGGGAGTTTTGCCTGGGTGACAGAGTCCAAGGGGTATGGAAAAGCAGGCATAGGAATGGAGTCAGCACAGACATAGGAAGCTAGAGACCAAGATGGGAAGTGAGGTCATCCACATGTGGGAAGAGCCTGAACAAGGAGACAGGCCCAGATGGAAGGGAAGGGAAGGACATGGCATCGTCATTGGAAATGTATCACATTTGGAATGTTTATTTGGAAGTGACCAAATAAATGTAGTATAAACAATGGGAGCTCACTTGCTCAGTATAAGAAGATCTTCAAATACCAAATGGTAGAAAACTACAACAAAGCTCAGGGTTGAACTTAAATTGGTAGCATCAACATGAACTACTGAATTTTTATGTAAAAATCATGTATACTGAGAGGGCCTGGGAATAGTAATAACTGAAATGAACACACCTACGCCTAAGATTTGGCATCAAAGCACTAAACTTCCCTTAAAAAGGACCAGGAATTCACAGAAAAATAGCTGGTTACCAGAGCTGGAGTGAGAAGACTAAAGATGTTTCTTGAATATCTTATCCAGAAAGCATGGAAGAAGAGTGATGAAGGCATGTCAAAACAAATCAGACATCAATGAAATTTCTGGGAATATTGATAGTATAGAGATAAGGCACTTACCTTACATATAGCCGACCCAGGGGTTGATCTCTAGTACTCCATATGGTCATATGTTCCTCAAGCCCCGCCAGGAAGAGACCCCCTAAGCACAGTCAGGAATAAACCCTGAGCACAGTAAGGTTTGGTGCAGAAACCACCGTTATTATAAAATTAATAACAATGGAAATGTGTTATCCATCAAATGGACCCATCAAAGAGGCAACCAGGTGTCCTTATAGATACTTTTAAATGACGAGCATTTGAATGACAAATGAGATGATGTTTACATAGCTTAAAACCACATCTCCACAGGATAATTACTAATTACAATGGTGGGGATAAAAGGCATAACTTCAGAGCTAGAATTTCTGGCAGACACCATCTTAATTGTGAACAAAATTATTCACCACCTGAGAGGTACATATAACAATGTATTACCTCTGTGGTACTCTGGACAAGTTATACCATCAGAATCTGATTATAATAAAATACCTGAGAATCTTTAAGTGGTATTCTGCAAAAATAATTGGTTTTTAATCTTCAAAAGTGTCAGACCACAACAATTTGATATAAAATTTTAATATTTAAAGAAGAGGAAAATATATTCCAGAATAAATGAGACTGAAGAATTAACAACTAAACACAAGGTGTGACTCTGAAATTAAATCTTTTTCCTAGAAAGTTTCCATCAAGATTTCTTATGGGATCTAGAGTTATACTATAAATCTATCCTGAAAAACATAATTTTAGACAAAACATTTTTGTATCAATTCTCATTAAGTTAATCGTACTTTTCTTTCTTAATGAAAATTTGTTCCTTATGGGAGAAAACTAGATTTAAAAAATGTAACCTAATTTGTTTTAAATTTGACAAGAGCTCTCTTTTGGCTTTCTCTTAAGCCCATGATGTGTTTTCTTGAAAATTATAGTGATATTGACCACACATAATAGGTCTATTAGTGAGATTTTATTAAACCCAAAGTTACCCTGTCGCCGCTTTTCACTTGGCTACAGATTTAGTTAAATGTTGAAAGAACCTGAGCTCCTGAGATAGGCACATCTGGATTTGAATTCTGGCTCTGTTGTCGATGATTGGGCAAAATGCCTAACCATATACAACCTCCAAATCATCCTTTTGAAAAAAGACCAAAGTGGTATCCAGCACTCAGGTTTTTGGTGAGAGTTAAACCAAGATACCCTTTTAAAAGAAAAAAATCTCATTTAAAACAGTTGTCTTGGTTACGATTCGCAACCAGGTACAACAAAATTCTCATTTGTAATATCATTACTATAATCTCATTTTCCCAAATAGACTGGTCAGCTCTACATCATTTTTAACTCTCAGGTTACATATTTATGAAGTCCTTCAATGAAAAGTCTTATTTCCCAGCTTCCCTTCCTGTCCTTCCATTGCTGATTAGAATGACATTTGCCATGACAGATGATCTGTTCTCCTGGTAAAGATGAGAAGAGGAAAATAAGGGGATTTGCTGGGGGGAGGTAGAGGGGAGAAGAGGCATTAATAAGATATGGCTTCTGTGGGACCCCGAGAAGCTGTTTTGCTGATTGCTTTATATAGCCTCACACCTGTTAAGATGTATCGAATTCACATAACATATTGGTATATATTCTATTAATAGACAGATGCATATATGTGGAAAATAAATGACTTTAACAAGATATTGAAAAAGATTAAGAACAAATGCTGATGTGGATACTTCCAAAGGTGGATGTAGATTCCCTTCATTCTTATTGTCAGTGCCCTTTGTCATAGCAGGTATGCTAATTTGCTACACTTATCATATGCTCCAACAGGTTTGGGTAACTTTCTAATACTGACAACAAGATGACTTTGTCACTGAGGCAGCAAATTTAACATGGCAACTTGAGTAAAGGCTGAGTTTCCAGAGAGGCCGAAATTCAAATCTCTATTACTACTGCATGATGGGGAATCTACTTGGACATGATTTCTTCAACAATAAAATGGAGAGAATAATAACTGCCTGGTTGTAGTTAAATAAGAAAACATATTATTAATATACTTATCAAACTCTCAGACACCTTAATGTTAACAAATACATTGTTCCAGTAATTCTTGCAATTGTTTAGAGAAAAAAAAAACAAGAATGGGGCTTATCAACCAAGTTTGAAATACAGAGTGCTATTTTATAGTGATTTCAACCATAGGATCTTAGAATATTAGGTATTCCCTAAAGGTATAATTAAGATTTTTTGCTATTAACACATCCATAGAATCTAGAAAAGCACTTAAAACCCTAGATTACATGGAATTCTTAGTGTGAGTTTTCAGTATTAGAGAGTATAGAGTCTGTACTGTATTCACTTCTAACAATCCAGATACTTATTTTACATAAAATGTTCTTAGTAGGGCCAGAGTGATAGAACAGTGGGTAGGGCATCTGCCTTGCATGCTACTGACCTGGGTTTGGTCCCCGGCATCCCATATGGTCCCACAAGCACTACCAGGAGTAATTCCTGAGCACTGAGCCAGGAGTAACCTCTAAGCATCACCATATGTGACCCAAAAAAATGCATTTAAAAAAATGTTCTTTAAAGTAACAAAATAGGAGACTAACACCCAAGAATGGCTGAGATTAGTACCAGGAATTTTGCTCCATGGCTTGGAGGCCAACCACACATGCTAGGGGAATAGGAAACTCAGATAGAGAAGGGAGAACCAAATAAAGGGTGTTGGGAGGATTCTCCCAGGATGGGAGAAGCATGCTGAAAGTAGACTATAGACCAAACATGATTGCCACTCAATGCCTCTTTTGCAAACCACAACACCCAAAAGGAGAGAGAGAACAAAAGGGAATGCCCTGCCACAGAGGTGGGGTGGAATGGGGGGAATGGGGGGGGTGGGAGGGATACTGGGATCCGTGGTGGCAGAAAATGGGCACTGGTAGAGGGATGGGTATTTGATCATTGTATAATTGAAACCCAAGCACAAAATTTTAAGTCTACAACTGTACCTCATGGTGTCTCACTAATAAAAATTAAAAAATTAAAAAATGTTCTTAGTATTGTACTCTTCTCTTCTTTGCTGTTGTTCTGTGATGACCAGAAGTCATGCACACTCCATTGCAGTGCTCATCTATTTCAGCAGCAGTGCTCAGCAGGAATCATATTCTTGGCTATGATGAACCAAAGATTACACACTGCTGTGATGTCAGGGAATTTCAAAGACTAGAGTCCCCCCAGAACATAGTTGAGCAAGTGGAGCAGTGTCAGTGAATGGACTTTCAGCTTCAATGGCATGTGTGTAAAGCAGGTACTCTAGTACTAAGCCAGCAACATACCTCATACTAGTAGTAGCATGAATGCATAGACCTGATAGTTTCCTATTTACTGAGGTCCTAATTAAGCATGAAGACATCTTGTCTGGAAGTTTTAAAAATTGATAAGCTTGATAATCAGCACCTGAAATTATTTTGCAACACTCAAGACACTCAGTCTTTCAGCCAATGTCCATCTACCACAATGAATGGTTAGTACACCAGTCTTTAAAGTCTGAACACAATCCATAAACTGAAGTATCAGGTAATAATCTGGGACCAGCAGTGATGTAATTAATAGCCTTATCCTGGGTATATTTCCAGCTTTTATATTCTGAGCCTGTTGCAAGCACAGCAGCAAGAAATTCATCAC